CTTCCGACCTCTCGACACATTCCTTCAACGCTTTCCATCCATATTACTTTCTCTTATTTACACATACATGACTGAGTTCTGCTGATATACGTGAGATTTGTGGCTTTCTTTCCTTCGCTCAAGACCATTTCCTCCACAACGAGAGGAGGACGAGGGAGGTGTGGTGGTGGTGAGGAGCCCGGTTTCCCCTTCACTTACCCTCAGGTTCCTTATCCTTTCTCAAGAGGTAATTCAATGTCAAGTAATTTTATTTGCTCAAGAAATCAATTGAGGATGAGATTGAAATACGAGGGGAAAACGTCTTGGTCTCCGTTTTCTTGTGTTGTGTAGTGTAAGGTTTTCACTTGTGTATTCGAATATATGTGGAAATGACCCCCGTTTCCTTGTTCTTTAAAATATTTTTGGTGTTGAAGTGAATAAACACAAATCATGAAAGGAATGTTATGTGGTGTGGAGGATGATAAGTCGGGGCGGTTTGGTCGAGAAGCGATATACAGTATTGTGCTACACATATATAAGTGCTATATTGACGAGAATATGAAGAACCGTTTTACCAGAAATGAGATCCCAAAGTATTTTGGGTGGGTGAGAGAAATGCCGATGACGTTAAGGAGAAAGCATTATGTGTGCTGTAAATAAAAGAATTCTTGGACTTTTCGGGTGGTCAGATGTGTCAGTTTGGACCCTTTTAGACCTTTATCAACATATATTGGTCCTGGGTCTGGACTCTCACGCATGTTCACCCTACGCTACACCATCTTCCGTCGTCGTCGTCGTCGCCAGCGTTGGGCTGACTGACTGAAGGAATGATTCATTCTCGTCACAGCTGGGACTATGAAGTTTAGTGCTTTTTTACCTCTTCTCACGCCAGTCTATGTGACATAAAATCAACCTCTTTCCAAGTTTTCCTTTTGCCCAAACACATATTTCATGGCAGGAATCTTAATCTCGTCTCTCCTTCCTATGTATGTCTGGTGTACTCACTCATCCCATAGCCTTCCTCAACCTCCTTCTCACCTTCTTTGGAAATTTATGGGAATTTTATTCTCTGCGTTATTTCTTTCCCAACACTTACTTACCAAGCTCATATAGCTACCAACTCAAACTCAATCCTGGTCCAAGATAATAATTACTGCTCCAAAAGTGAGGAGGGTTCAACAGGAAGGAAATAAAAGTAATTATTTCGTACTTCTCACTCACAGCATCATCACGGCGTTAAGACCAGCGTCATCATGCATCCCCGAGAACGACTGTTTTGCTGATAAAGAAGGACGAGTTTTGAATTCGGTGGTTGAATAGTTGAATTGCTCGAACGAGACATCACGCAAGACATAGAACCACTTTATTACATCGGTTAGAGAAATTGCCATCCTCCGAGTATAATCTTGCTCTGCGAGGAGGGGACGAATCTAAACGTAAATATGTATATAAACCACAGCATGAGAATCCAAGTCGAAATTTGGAAAGAGAAAGCACGTCGTCTTTCGACTCAAGTGCAGGTCCACTTACCGTATCGTAATTCCTGCTTTCCTTCTAAACGATGTAACCACTAATGCTCTGTTCTCGCAGAAGCTACAATTATTGCTTCCCTTCCTAATGCTCGCCAGACTTTGAAGATTAGTGAGAATGAAAATAGTGAGTGATATTTGGGATTGCGATGGCCAATAATAATCATCTTTGCACTAAATATTAGACACCAAACCTTAAAGTTTCCTTATGAATGTGTAATAGGTAATGCGTACGTAAAGTATTTATTTATATATAGACGTAGCTATGTATGTATGTATATGCATGTAGCATATTGGGCTTTTTGTACGTGCACAATGTATGCAATATATCGCTACATTCTATCACATACGTAGGCACTAATTTTATATGTTTGTTTACTTGACCGAGATTTGAAGGCACCCATAAATATAAATAATACTTCCAATCGTCCGTTTTCTCTGCGCGTGTATTTTTATAGAAAATTCCAAGGGTAGAAAGTTACACCGTTACACACATCTAATCCACCCTGGTGAAGAAAGAGGATGGAAGATTAGGAAAACCTGATTGCCGATAGGTCTAAGTTCAAACAATTTTATTGGACATGTTTCAAGTGCTAACCAGCTGGGCGCTGCTTCTTTGCTGGACGGAAACTTGGACGGTCTGCTAAGAAATGCAAAAGTGAATTCATCCAGACGCAAACAAATGAGCCAACTTTCTCAACATTTTTAAAAGCGGACATTATACTGCCCGTTCCCACTTTCACTCTCATTCTTATATTATAAAACTTTTACCAAACTTTCTTCAATTTTTTTGAGATTCCTTTTCCCATTGTGTTACTACACAGTTTGAACTCTGAAGACATAGTGTGGCATGAGGGTGATTGGCGTAAAAAATGTCCCGTTTGTTGGGCATTCCATCTTCATTTCTATCAATAAATGACAATCTGAGTTTTTTTATTGTAATGGATTCCATTGTACAAAGAAATAAGAGTTCATGCCAATTAGCCTCTGGTAGTTTCATGCTTTACTTTTCTGCACTTTTTGTGAATTTTGATATATGTTAGACATGTATAGACTGAGATAATGAGTTACACATATAGTTACATATATTGCGTAAGGGGAGCGTCAAATTTATGGATGAACATTATGCTACGAATTGGAATAAGCTCGTCTTCTGCCGGTTCCCAATTGTCCCAAATCTTCAATCAAGCAGCAACCATTTTAAATAATGAAATGTGGTGAAAGCCTAAACCTCGATGGAAGGATCAAGCCTGTTGTAAAATGAGAGAACGCCGAGAAACCCGATCGGTGATTGCCTCGAGCGAAGGGATTGCGAATTGTATAAGCCGAGGATCAAAAAGAATTCCTTGGTCTGATTGCGATATTTTAAGAGTTGCTCATATCTTAGCCTTGCACTCACTCTCTTTGGCTCTTACTTAGGATTGCCCAACATTTTGGGATTTTCACCTCTTCACAATTTCACTTCTCCGAAGAAAGCTTTCATTGTGGGCGGATTTAGTCATTCGCTAAAGTACGAACCCAAATCTGTCTCCTTGTTCTCAGCCTTCGACAAATACGTTCCAAGGTGCACGTCACAAACTCTTCGATAAATGTTGTAATTTATTGAGTTCACGAGAGGAAGCTTCAATGAGTTATATAGGCATTGCTCCTCTCTATCAGACCTCTCAACATCCAGCATCCGAGCTTCGAGAAAATTTCTCCACCTCTTCAACGTCTTTCGCTTTAATCCTAAGCGAATCTCCTGGGAGTAACAAATGCTGGAAGAGCAAATGCCGAGCAAGCGAGGAGAATGTACCTACGTATTTATATCGCAAGGACTGAGAGCTGGATGTTACATAGGTTTTTTCTATTTTTTCCCCATGAAGTGCAACTGTCTTGCAATGTGGGGCATTGTGAGGCAGTTCGCGCTATATGAGAAACATATAGTATGTTGTTCCTAATTCTTATGGAGAATGTCGGGCGCTCGTATGGCGAAACGTTTTGACCTACAGGTTTCAACTAAGCGGCGTTGGATACATCTCACCGAGCTTTAAAATGACATTTCTCAGAATTACAGTATCTCGAACCATACCAAAGATATCAACGTTAATACGTTTTTTCGCGCCAAAAATCTTAAAAGCTACCCCAAATGGGTTGGGTGCATGATAGAGACATACATGCAATTACAAATATGTCCAGAAGTACTTCAGCTACAACGTTAGTTTGAAACTTTTTTTTGATTAAGGCTTCAGTTTGGAGCAAAGTTCGAATTTGTGTGATTTTTCGTGATTAAAAGTGTCAATTTGTTCGCGGACCTACAGCCAAAGCGTTACGTTTTAGAGACTTGGACCTTAAGAAAATTATGTAGGAGAGGGTCCAACTTATGACCCTCAGAGGACATACTTTTTTGAATTCGGTCATGGTTTCTGAGTTATGGCGCGATTTTTTAAACGGTTTGAAATTTTAATTTTTCATAAGGTTACGTGTACTACCTTAGATGGTATAATCTAATATGGATAGGATCATGAGTGTTGTGCAAAAATTTATGCTTCACAATTTTATATGTGAGATATACATGAATTCTGGACCATTTCTAAACCATGAAAGTCAAAAGTGAACATGACCATTATATGTACTATATTAATAAAGACATACATACATACATACATATGTACTATATTAATTGTATTTCCTTTATCTTTACTTCTAAGTTACTTTATACTAATTGATTATATATTATGTGGTGTTAGGGATTTATACTTTTCTTATATTTTTAACTGTAAATAAAGCCAAGTCTCACGGTACCCACTGGCGCGCGAAATTCAGTCCGCCCAGTCTACGAGTTGAATTTCACATGTGATTACAAATTTATACGGAAATAAAATCCGAGCTTAACATATCTGAATCGTGTGAAAAATGCCGAAAAAACTACAAAAGCGCAGAAAGGTTGATAAAAATAGATATGTTAAAAAGTTACATCGTACTGGTGAAATTTGGAACAGTCAACCTAACGACGTTGACAATAATAACTTTAATTTAATTTTTGGCATACACAAGGCTGGCATAAATCAGATAAGATGAAAAGAATTAAATAAGCTATGCGGTAAAACCGCTGAAAACTCTATTTTTTCAATAATATATTATGGGCAAATTAGAAAGAGAGAAAAAGTACAAAACAAGATGCAGTACCCATTATTTGAAACTAATATTTCGGGGAGAAAATAGGAGCATATCAGAGGGCCGGAATTTGCCAAATTCGCATTCGCCATCTGTACCAGTCGTCGGGCAAAGTGACCTCTCATTTGCTCCTATTTTCTCCCCGAAATATTAGTTTCAAATAATGGGTACTGCATCTTGTTTTGTACTTTTTCTCTCTTTCTAATTTGCCCATAATATATTATTGAAAAAATAGAGTTTTCAGCGGTTTTACCGCATAGCTTATACTCCAACCAAAGTTTCATTAATCACATATACGCGATTTATGTATAGGTTGTGGTGATATATGTATCACTATCAGTATTTACTAATTTTATTTCATGCACTTATTTCGAGTGAAAGTGAGTATGCATTGAACAATACAATGTAGGGCACAATTTTTTGCTTTCTTGGTGTCTTTCCATTGGTTGAGGTTTATGCGTTATATGAGTCAATCAGTTTGCTTTTAAAATGTGCTAGCAGTAAACCCTAAATTTTCTGCTTTTAGTAGTAAGAAACAACAGAACAAGGCATTATGTGATGATTGCAAATTAATTATTATATTGCTGTGGGTGTCGATGTATACTTATAATAATGCATTCAGGTCAAATCAGATGTACTCTAGGGATTGGCGGCCGTGAGACAGTTGTAAGAATATTGGGAGGAGCAGGAAGATTGGCAAATGCAAATCAGATTCGGAACATTTACTTCATCAGGAAACCAGAAGGGTCCGTGAACGCAACCATTTCCTGGAGTTGGAGTTGTGGGTGGTTCTTCTGTGATTGGCTCTTCAGTGGGTGGTTCTGTAGTTGGTTCTTCAGTAGGTGGTTCCGTAGTTGGTTCTTCTGTTGGGGGTTCGGTAGTTGGTTCTTCTGTTGGGGGTTCGGTAGTTATGGGGTAAGCTTCTATCAAAGCCTTGAGTGATTCTAAGGCATTTATTCTCCCATGTCCGTATACGTTATTTGGAAATTCGGACTCATTTATTCCCCCACAGTTTCTCCCACTAGCCACCAAGTTGGCAGTGTCTGCTCCCCCGAAAAGAGCTTCTTTAACTTGGGCATAGGTCAAGTCCGGCTTGTATGCGAGCAGCAATGCGATCAAACCTATAGAGAACCAGTTCATGTGCATAGGTGACCATTACCGATCACAAGTGCGTATGCATACCTGTCGCATGAGGACAAGCCATGCTAGTACCCGATGCCATCGCATAAGCTGTATTTCCTGTGATCCACGCTGATACTACGTCATGTCCTGGTGCGGTAAGGTCAGGCTTCACTTCTCCGAAAACGGAGGGTCCAACCGCACTGAATGTTTGATACAAATAACAATCACAAAATGACACAATAGGGAAAATAAAATATGGAAAAATTAACGCGATTCTTACCTGAAGTACGAGATGGAATCAATGTTAGTAGTCGATCCGACAGCAATTACATTTCGATCTGCAGGGGAAGAGACTGTTCCACCTGGGGAATACAACATTTTGTAGAAAAACATGTTAAACCAGATCGGCATTATTCTCTTATCGGTACTCACATGGTGGTCCAGTGTTTCCTGACGAAACGACGGGTATTATTCCTGCTGAGTGCCACGCCTCAATGACCGGGTCGAACCTTCAAAGCAAATATACATCGTAAACATGTTTATTAAAACTAAAGAGACCAGGAAACCTTACCAAGTCTGCCCTTGGCCCCCATTCCAACTGTTTGAGACAACTAAAAGTGGTTTACAAAATTAACATTATAATATTCAATATATAAATATATATTTATATAACTATGCATAATATATCTTAAATTGGCAAACGTACCAGACGCAGCGTAGGAGCAGTTAGGACTGGATCCGTCACTCAAGTGAGGACATACCGCAAATTGACCGCACGCAATAAGCGCTAATGGTCAATAATTTATATATATAAATTGATATTGATATATACTTGATTGATACTTCTAATACATATTCATTTATGTATAAATATACTATTTATATTTATGTATGACCTGATGATGCGCAGCTTGCTCCGCAACCTTTGCAACTCATAAACTTGGCGTTAGGGAAAACACCGATTCCATTAGTTCCACAGATTGTTCCTTAATAGAAAAATAATAAACGCAAGTTTTAGGCCTTTTAAGATGGCCTTATAGATTTACCAAGATGTCTGTCTGTCCGTCCGTCTGTGCGTCCGTCTGTGCGCACGATAACTCTCTTTAAACAAAAGCTATCGACTTGAAATTTTGCACACTTCATCTTCGGGTCAAAAGTAAGGATGAGTTCGGAGATGGGCATGATCGGCCAAGTAGTTGGCCGGTGGGGGTCATTACTATCCAAATGCGTTGCCCTTAACTACCAAGAACCTTTAGAGCAGGTTAAATTATTTAAGTGCAAGTAAAATATTTGTAGCTTGAAAAATATCTATAGTAATAATTTTCAGTAATTTTAGTATGAAGATTGCGACTGACCTCAAAGCGTTTAAATTGGAATGGAGTTTCAGAAATTTTAAACCTGGGAGACCCGATAGGGTGACCCGACGGATTTCTAAAATTTGTAGTACGTAGTTGAAATTTGGAACAAAGGTTGCTAGTGGATTGTAACAGAAAAACTGAATTTAGGTTGGAACAATTTTAATCTTGATGGACCCTATGGGGTGACCCATACTGATTTTTCAAAATCGTCATATCGAAGTGAAATTTGGGAGAGAGGTGATCCATATCTATTTTTAGAAATTGCGTTAAAAACATGAAATCCGGCACGGTAATACTTACAATTAGTGGCTTCTCATCAAAGAACTTGAAATTAAAAGTTAGCTAACAAGGGATACTTTCGAGGTGATAATCGTGTCCAGGGTACCACTCATTGGTCTAAATGTTTTTTGATCGAGTGTTTCTCACGGGTTCGGGTTCTTACTTCGGGTTTCGGGTTCGGATCGGGTTTGGGTCCTGCTTCGGATACGAAATTTCAGAACCCGAAACTTTCGGGTTCGGGTTCGGGTCCGAGAAATGTGAGCCCAAAATTTCGGGTTCGGGTCGGGTTCGGGTTCCGACTAAGAACCCGAAACCCGAACCAACAAGAACTTTTTGCCACAACGAATACGAAAACATTAAAAAGAAAATAAAGTGTTAACCACACTTGCTACGACGGTTATGCTGCAGTAATTCATTAAATAATTCAAATTTTTAATTGTCGTAACTTCTTTTCACAAGTGTCTTCAATTAGTGTTATGGTTTGAATATTGAAATAAAATATATTTTTTTATCAAAAATTTGCTAAATAGTTAGCTTGAGCTTACTTTAATATTGGAAACTTGAAACTGAAAATCATTTTCAGTTTTCAACTGATTTAAAAATTTCTGAATGTCACGGAAAGCCATTATCCATGGTCGATTTTTTGAGATTGCATTATTATGGTCGAGGAATTAAGATTCACATTTTAAAATGCGTTATGTACTTATGCAGAAATGTGCTTAATTATAATTCCTCGGTCATATTTACAGAAGTATTGTTTGTTTGAAATCTTTAGGCTAAAAAGCCAGTCACCCCTTAAAGTTAAAATATATTCGGTTTTTCGGGTTCGGGTTTCGGATTTGATCCGCCAGTTCGGGTTCGGATCCTTGCAAACGGGTTTCGGGTTCTTCGGGTTCGGGTTGCCCTCAAGTTTCGGATCAGTAGTATCGGGTTCGGGTTTCGGATTTGCAAGAACCCGACCCGTGAGAAACACTAATACCCATCTTCGAACTCGGTCGTTGCCCAGATGCATGTCTGTATCAAATTTGGTAAAAATCAGCCTACTCCTTCGAGAGTTATGGAAAGACAGACAGACGGACAGGTCGATTACATAAGCCCTAGTTCGGGCTAAAAATTATATGCCAATCGTTCATTAGAGTCTGGCTTTTATGTAATAATGCCGTCTTAAAAGGCCCCGCGAAGTTGCTTGGAGTAGGTTTTATATTTAGAGTTACACGAAATATTAGAAACACAATAATGCGAATTATTATTAGCAATTTTATATTTTTTGTTTAAGGTCTTTGAACTCCAGTGTTCCGATCGCGACGCGTCGCGACGGTTTGTCTCGCAATAACATTGTCGAAACGAACCATCTCGTTTCAATCTCGCTATCAATGTTATCAATGCAAAGCGGAAAATATTACTTTAAACGATGGGCTTCGCGAATGCTAACCGTAGGCATTTAAATCTAACTTATTGGAGGAAGGTCTGTATATTATATAGTAGATAATAATCTACCTGTTACATGAGTTCCATGTCCGTTATCGTCGTAGGGGTCTAGTCGTCCATTAGAAGGGTCATACCTGCAGAATAAAAGGATAAAATCAGAATGGAGTTGTTGTTCGTGAAATTTTCTTGTCGTACCATCCATAAGTTCCCAAGAAATTATTTCTCACTGCTTCATGGGTGTGAAGAATCCCAGTATCAATCACAACTACGCGAATCTCTGGTAGGTCTACGGTCTGTAAAATACAATGTTCATTGCATGGTATCACACTTGAGCAAAACCATTTAAGCGTACTGTGTTTTTTGGATTTGTTAGGATGACTGTTAATCAGCACCTCATTTAACAGTCATTGGTCATCTGAAATTACTTACTCCATCATCTGATCCAAGAACTTCGGAAAGTAAAGAATTTGCTTCTGGGGCCTTAACCATCGAAATCCCCCACTCTGGCGTGTCCCCAATTTTTGTACCAGATACTTGGACCGGGAACTGGGGTTCATCGAGGGGATAATGAACGTCCTCACTGATTCTGGAGACCTACGTTAGTTTGCATACGAAAAGCTTAGATCATGCATATAAAATTATTATATAGGCAAAGCTACTTGCTCTACATGAAAAATTGTTACAATACCAACGGAAATTCGCTAAGTTTTCGCATAATTCCCTGGGAGCATCGTTTGATCACAATTTGGTTAGTAATCCACAATTGTTCGAATGGAATACGCTCTTTTTGAAGAAAGTCAGTCACATCGTTCTGAGAATCACTGCTGTGGCTTTTCAGAGATGATACCATGTTGGAGATGTGATTGGTGCGAGAGATCCGAGCATTGTTGGACCTATAGATACTTGACGGAATCTGACCAAATGAAATCAATATATCCGCAGGTTCAGAGGACTCTAGCAATGAAAAATCAATTTTGCTCTCCATTCCTTGGATCCCAAGGATGCCGAGCGAAATTATCAAAATTCGCAACATTTTTTCTACCGTCTAGTAAACCTTTCTTACGCACTAGGAAATGTCGAGTGTCAGAATAATTTAATGTTCACCCCTGACACTGAACATAAAATTTACATCATTTATCGGACAAGTATAAAGTGAGCGAGTTTCCAAGTCCTTAATTCTCCTGCTAACTTTATCAGTCAGCACAAAAAATGACAATGAGAGGCTTGTTGGTTATCCTGATATGACATGACAGATGATGAATTGAAAGTATTGTTTATTAAAATTATGACGCATTACAAGTTCAAAAACATCAATCCTCTTCAGTTCAGAAGGATGGATTAAAACGTTAATTAGCTGAAGTTTCCGAATCACAACAATTTGACTTCAAGTCATTGTGTATGATAGGTCAATCAATCTACTTAAGTGGAATTTTACCAGTGCATGGCAGATTTGCTATGAAACATGTTGATAAGTAATTTCTCATGTTTATGTATGTAGCTGATAGCTGACCACCGTCATACTCTGCAGAGCTAAGACTCTTCTGTTTCTGCTCACAACGATGCGGTTATTTTATTTGACTAAATTTCCCAAAAGATAAAGTCATTATTGCGTTGACCGTGACTTTAATATTTAGAGTTTAATTGATATTTAATCCATCTAACCAAAATCTGATCTGTTCGCACAGTTTCTGATGAAATTTTTCTGAGGAAGGCATAATTATTCAGCAATACAGCTTGTTACTTATGTACATTTGTATATATGTCATATCACGTTGATTCCTATAATGAATGCATGAACAAGCTAATTAAGGTAGCTTGTATGTACATATTTGTACAAATACGCAGCTACCAACGTTCACCTACTTATCAAGTTTCGAATTCTAGAGTGTGGGTATAAAGGGGATACTTTTTGTCAGAAATAGAAAAAAATAAAGTTATTTCCGGAAGGTAAGGAAAAATCGCATTTTCGCAAGTTGCTCAATCTCTTTGATTTTCAGTGATGCGTTGGAGTATTATTAATCTAGTGAAGAACTCATTACTCTCCGAAAGCAATCATTGCTCTCTAGCAGACCAGAACAACCTGGAGAACTGGAGGAGGAGAGAGTTTTTCTTCTCCTAGGCCTACATATATCTCTACTTATCTATCTGCCACCGTGCTTGAGATAACTATATTAGGTGCACTGTGGAGACTTGATGATAATATAATAACCGCTTTACCCGGTACCCGCAGTAAAATATCCACGAGTAGTACATCATCAACTCTCCAGAACTCTTTTTGTTGGTATACATACTTACAACGTACTATTAAAAAGTCGGGAAAGAAAACAGGTTACAGAACATCCAAGTTCTATCTGTCTGATTCAACCATTTTATCATTATTTCATATGATATATGTTACAACTCTCGCCAAAGTCGAGTGCTTTATCAGACTCGAGAGGACAGGTACGGAGGTGGAAAGCCAAGTTCACGTGGAATAAAAACACATAAACCAACCAACCCACTACATATATTACTGACAGAAAGTCGTGTTGATCTCTGGCTATATAGGAATCCCACCACAACGCAGCACGCAGCCAGCCTCAAGTGTACATGAGGAAAATTCCTTCCCTTAGATTCCAGATGGTTACTTTCTTCATCTCACTTCAACTTTCTTGGTCCTCAGCTCAAAAATAACAGACAGACATAATAGTCAGGAGATTGTTGGTATTACGCTGCTGACTTTCCATCCGAGCCAAACAACTTTGTCCATTAAAAACCTTTAGAAAAATCTCCAAGCATTTCAGCCACCTTGGGTTGATCACCTTAAAACTTTTTTATTTCCACCATCGCCATCCTCTTCACCTTCAGTGATAATCTTATGATTAAAGGATCATTTGTGCAGTTAGTTCCGGTTTATGAGTCGCTCACGACACTGTCCTGGCTTTTTTCATCATGCTGCTACTCAAGAAAAAACGAAGCCCTTGCTGAGCTAGTCTACGTATGTATATATGTGCGGTTACTTTCTTCGGGTTAGCTACTTAATTGGCTCAACACATTTCGCTGGGGTCAAAAGACCATGTCTTAATCCTGAGACGACTGAAAAGAAATAACGATATTTTGTATCTGAAAATTTCAAAAAAAAATTCCATTTCCAACTGAATGTATATATATTTCTACACTATTTAGTTAGTGTATTTTTTTAATCCGGAAGAGGTTTTGAGTAAGTAGTTCCATGTACGTTCTCCCTTCCTGCTGAACAAAAGGTTTGGTAATTTGTAAAATATTCAAACACTTATTTCCTACCCTCATGTCTCATTGTCAGAATAACGGAAACGTCCCTAAAATGGCACGTGGCCTTTTTAGACCATCTATAGCATAAAATTGAAATGTTTCTAATCAAGCGTGTCGCCAGTTAGTTCCTCTCAATTGTCTCTTGTCTAGTGCACGGCTCAGGCAACTCGGGGTGAGGGTGCACTTCATTGTCATTTATTTTCATTCGATTTTGGCTCACTTCTCTCTAACCCATTGGAAGCATTATTTTCTGGATTAAACTTTCCCCTGAAGGATGTGAGTTTAATGGATTAACGGAAAGTTCAAACTTTCCGTTATTGGGTATCGAAAAATCCGTGACACATAATAAAGTAGAGGATGAGATTCGAGTACTTGCATATTTAGCTACTGTTCTGTTTGCCTGTGTTTGAATAAGGATCATCCTTCGGGACAAAGGGGTAGCAACTACAGAAAGGCAAGTTTTAATTTATACTCAATCTACAGATCTACTGACTCAATAACAAAGCTTTTGTATATGTTCAATGTGTATCGTCGATTAGATTGCTTTAAATCTGTTAATCAAATTACAGACAAATATATATTCTAACTAAAAAATTCACAATAGTTTAGTTCTCAACATGTAGTGGGGGAAAGTGAGAAATCAAGTTTCAACATGGGTAAAATCGATCAAGTGGTTGACAGGTGGGGGTCATCTAGGTCGAGTGGGGTCGTTGGTGCAAACTATTTTAAATCAAGTTTGCATTTTTTATGCAGGATCCTGGGAATGTCCGGACATTCAATAATATGACATATTCTAAACGTCAAACGTCCGAAAGCAATGGAGTGTAACTCTGATATATTATATGTCTGCTTTCGTATTTTAATTTGGTCAGTCAACAAAATACTGACCAACTCTGTTGTAACCATCTAGTAAAACGTTACAAAGTTTATGCGTTTGGATTTTGACCTTGATGTAATTTTCTAGCTGTCTAACCAAGATAAAGGACATTTGTTTCAATGAAGCAAAATGTGCAAAAGTTACCGGTGTATAATAGCTTTTACTACAAATCTTAAGTATGATGAATAAATGCAGATAGTGAAATACAGATAGTGCAGATAGTGCATAGACCAAGGGTGGTCTGTCTTGAAATTCTTCACTATCGTTTCGCCGTAAACTTTTCCATAAAATATTGATAGTGCTTAAAGTACAAGAGTTTATATCAGTTATATAAAAGTACTACTTTGAATATTAAAACTTTGTATTTGGTAATGCTTTTGGTATACGTAGATATTACTTGTTGGAAACTATTCGAGGTCGAAGGAATACTTATATGCTACTACTTTGTGGTACAAAGAAAGTAATTTATTGGAACTTCTGCACCCATAATAAGTAGCCGCAAGTTGATACATACGTAGAAATTGTGAAGTGGTCTTATTGCTCAAAACTAGAAACAAGAAATAAACACATCGCACTTATATTATTAAGAAGGTTATTGAGGTGAAAGAATTCCAGAAGTGTTTGAGTGAGTGGTCACTAGTGTGGCTTGTTAGAGCCTGGGGATCAACTCATCAATCCACCCACGGCTGTAGATGAACCCTGCGTGTGGTTCTCTCAAAATTGTCTATTCTACCAAAAATGGACTCAGTAAACTGGCATGATTACATTTCTGGTAAATTTCCCGTTCACTGCATCAGCCTTCTTTCTCAGTCAGTGTGTGTGTCCATGTGTCCAGACCAGATCAAGCTAAATGCATGATCATGCAGCTCTTTGATCTGTTTCACCAAATTATTTCTACATTCGTAAATTCGATTACTCCAGACAAATCTTAGTCATTATTGCTTCCAAATTTCGATGTACACAAAAGGTCTGACAATATCAGATGATACGCTTTTGTTTAGCCAGAAAAATTATCCATAAACAAAAATAAGTTTCTTTCAATCCGTGTCAAAAATAAAAAAGTCTCTGCAAAAAATTGTGACACCAAATATCCAGCTGTAACATTGAGTTCATATCGTATTGAAAGTGAAACATGTATCTTTGCATATCTCTTTAGACAGGTGAATCTCAGTTACCAAAAATAGGTTGCACTAGGGGACAATTAATTACAGTGTTAGGAAACTAGATATAAATTCTACTTATGTAAAATTACAGGAAAATCCGAATCTCGTTACGTTGTTGGTAAATAAATAACTCAAACTTTACCGAGGGACCGTGTTTCATCCAGTGCAGAAAACTGAATACACCGAAACCTATGCATGTAGGTTCCTTAAAAGTAGAACAACATGACGCGTATGTATGCATTATAAAATTGAAGTCAAATCAAATTGCAACTTGTGAGCATAATTTAAATTCTCCGGAACTATGTCGAGGTTTGTGTCGCACAAAATCCGGCAATTCAATTTCCCAAAGTAGGAAATGGTGGGAATACCTAATGAACTAACCATTCATTGAATCAGTTCAGGCTGAAAGAACATGATGTGTTTGCAGTAGCGTAATAGACGTTCATGTTGTTGCTTCTATTCAATTCCTGCAATTTCATGCTTTAGTTAAGCAGTTTAAATCCAAATGTCGCCCAGTGAAACTGAATCATTTAATACTCACGTCAAAATTACCAACCAACTCCCCACAAATCCGAAACCAGTATTGCCAAATGTCCACAGACAGAGGACTTTTCAGGAAAGCTTAACTCTCCATGCAAAGGAAACAGACCAACCGCCTTTTCAATGCCCAATGTTGCCATCAGATTAGAATTTACATATATAGTTCAGGTTGGAGTATAATTAGTAGCTTCATGCCATAACATAACGTTCATCAAGTGACTAACCTTATTGGGATGGTTCACGAATTTTTAGCATATGTACGTGAGCCTGCACCCCATTTAAATTTATTTGTTGACAGCGCTCAGAATCACATTTTCACAACGGAGAATTTTTACACATATGCAATACACATTTTTAGATGGCAAGTGACTTGTCTTCAAGTTTGATTTGTACAAGACCCGTTAAAAACGATAGAATAGAAAAGCGTTGAAATTCTGCATGAGTGACACAGGAACAAGATTCTTACGGTAGGTTTAACAAGTCTTTGCCTGCTGTTTTGCATAAATCATTCTCATCCACCCCTCAAACGTGCATTTGTTCTACATGACTTGGCTCCTCAAAAATAATTCTCAACCGCACTCAACAAAATCCATGTGACAGGATTTCCAGTTTCAATTTATATTCCGCTACTAATTAGTTCCGAATCCCAAAGTCTTTGTGACAAATTCAGTTGCCAGCCGTAAGGTCTGGGTCTCTCTTTAATTGAGTTATGAACCCCGTTTCTACATTAATAACGAGAGTTTCACCATATGTGACTTTTTCGACTTCTTGAACGTTGCGACCAACAACAACACGGAAAAATATTACAACTGCAGAGCCTCTGTTGCATCAAAAGTAATAAATCCAACACCGCACCATACACAATAACTTTGTCATACAAAGCAAGTAAGTATGCAATGATAACTTTGGGCAAACTTTGGCCACTCTCCGCATTTATTGGGCTCGTGGGCCAACGAACTTTGCACCACGAGCCCTCTAATCACAGAAGAAAGAGCAGAAAGACTATATGCACCATATCATGTCAGAGTAACAAATGCTGGAGCAACGTAACAATCGTGGGAGCGAACTTGTTCTTTGTGTCCAAATGAGACCATTTACATTGTTGGGTGGCTGGGACAAAAATGCGAGCCCAGTGCCAAAAAGTTCAGCCTGGAACGGAACTGACTTTATGACATCATCACGGGCTGAAACGCCTTCATTCACCAACCAGGCATCCAAATGAATGCAAATACATTTGTACCCCATGTTTGAGCCACTATTTCAAATTAGGTTCACAACTCAAATTTACAATTCATTCCACAATCTCGAACGAAAAGGGCTGGTTGCAACAGTGGCCGTCACCCATGTTTTGTACACTGCAGGGCTCTGGCAAAGTGCTTGGGCTGCTGTCGAATTATCATAACACCATCATATCAGCAGCCGCGCTCTCTCTGCAGAGACTTTCCCTCGCCTCCACACACCATGAATACGCATTAGAATAACAGATAGGGCAAAATGGTCGCAGTGGATCCTCATATAATATTAGATGACAGTGTACACGCTCTAATTTGTAATTTGTTTTCTGTATTACGACTATTAGGGCTCTGAAATTGAAGTTGGGGTATTCAGAGTCGAGGGTAATAACAGTGGTTATGTGTTCTCCTCTTTCCCACTCTACAATCATCACCAGAGAAATGCAGCCCATGCAGCAGCAGCCTACGTTGTACGTACGTAGTAGGAAATAGGAATGGGTTGGGAGGTAAACCTCGAATTTCTACGGAGGAGAGAATCGAAGAAACTGTTGGAGAAAGGAACAAGATCATGCGCCACAAGGTTGACTCTCTCCAACGTTGTGTTTGCACAAAGTGAAAGTTGAAGCAGTGGGAGAAAGTCGTCCTCCTCGTCCTCGTCGTACGTACATATCCAGCAGCAAGTCGTGTTGGCTTGGTTAACTTGCTTGGTTAACACCATTGTCACCGGAAGGGTTGTTGGGGAAAAGAATTCTGTGCGACTTTACTTGCTTTCCAACTGGCTCGACGTGTGCAGAGCCATATATTTTATTTTCTCTGTAAATTAGTAAAAGTTTTATAAACCCGAAATGTTATACATGTATGCACAGATGTATAATGCTCCCAATCTTTGATTTTCTGTAAAATTATTATTAAAATTATTATAACTAATTGAAAATGCTCAAAAATATTTAGACAAATGACTCTAACTTGTGTTTCACTAAACTTAATTCGATGTCAAACCAACTCTATCGAGAGATTATTACTGGATAAATTATATGTATGCATGCATGCTCACATGGTCAAATATAGGTATTTGTACATCTATATATTTGTATATGCAGATAGATCTGTCTCCAACATACTAAATAAGTGCACTTCAAGTTTTAGGGTTTTTATTTCCAGCTTCATACATTTTATTTTATTTTTTACTTATGTACTGACCCATGTTGAGAACTGTGCAGCATGAGTCAACCATTCGCCCACATTGCAAGAGTAGGAATATCCATAGCAGTGAAACTTGTCTGACTGCTTAAAAGTTTGTACTTTCGGTGGATATTATGTAGAGAAATTCGACACCTATAAGATTACCGAGAGTAGTTGGGTTGCTGAACGCCTTTCACCAAGAAATGAACGACGTTCCCCGCCCGTCTTTTCAAACTTTCTTTCCGTTACTTTATTTGAATGTTATTTAATACTTGAGCGTCTTTAGTAAACAAATGAAACTTTGTAACGGGTGTAGATGTTTGCAGACTCTGCCTTCCTCCTTTTATGGACTACATAGCATGATTGGCACAATATTCTAAATATGGTACGTAAACTTGGATTGTACCGGAAGGCGAAGTTATTGATTACTGCCGTTACTAAAATAATTAATTTCTTAATAATGCCATTTCTTGTTTTTAATATGAATACATACGCAACTTTATACTTGTAAGTACATCTGAATTCCACAAAGTGAGGTAATATAAAGACATGTATTTGATACATTTGTATATTTTTGTATATTTCTATAATTTTTTAAACAAATTATACTTAACATATGTATGACTTATATTTATACATAATTATCGTGTCATGCATTTAAGGGAATTAAGATTTATTTGGCACGCAATTAGGTACTAAAGATCGCAAAAGCCAATAAAGCCTGACATATTTGTGTTTTGATTAAGCCATCATTCTACAAGTCTCGTAAAACTTTATTGATCTCCCTCGAGCCAAGTGGTCTTATTAGATTTATGAAGTTTGAAACATGCCAATCAATGGAATGGGATATGGTTGTACAACTTTAATTTGTGTGGATGACCTTTTACAATTTATATCAATGTTTTATAGGTAAAGCTTCGATCATGCTTGTAACTCATACAGACAATAATACCAATATAAATCCATATACATTTGATGAGGTAAATGGTCTTATTGGGCATTGGTGAAAAAACATAAATGAAACTTCTCTTTTGCAGCTACGCGAAACGTTCCCCTTTCTCCAATAACAGACTTTCATACTCCCAACACCTCGCTAACGTCACTCAAACGAGGCATCCAGCAGTGCTCGCAGCCCGTGCCGTTTCATGTATGCAATGGGAACCAATGGTGTGGCATCATCTAGTCTCGTCTTTCTCCCACCATGGCTCATTTTGAGACTGTTGGGTTCTCTCATAAGAAAAGACGGGAGCCGAGCATGAAATTCCGAAACCCGGGTAGGAAGCACAAGTCTTGCTCCAACACAACCGTCGAAGCCAGTCAGTGCAACTTTGAGCTCTGAACCCGTTGGTTGACAGTTGGCTAGTTCACCTCTCTTCTAAGCACACGATGTGCATACAGTGCGAGTGCATCACCATACACGCAAAGTATAATAATTGACGACTTTCTCCTCGAGATTTACTTTCTATTAATTCAACAAACGTCGAGTTGATGATATGAACAAGACGCTCACAGCGGTTTAATTCAGTTTGACCTTCTCAAGCAGAAACAAGAGTAAAGTTTCTTCTCTGTAAATCTTGAAAGAAAGAGTTTTGCCTATCGGTAGCTCTCCCACACATTTGCTTCAACCCATCAGCAGCATTATAGAAAAAGGAGAGAAACAATAGGAATCAGTCTCCAGATTGGTTTTGCACCGTTGGTCCAGTCAACTCCAATATTTTGGGTCCCACTAATGCAAAGTGATGGTGAAAGTGAGTTGAGGGGAAGAGAACTAAGCACGGTGGAAACCAACCAAAGAGGAGGGCAGAATTTAAGTGAAATTGACCGTCAATCCGGATTTTCGATGTGGACATTCGTGCTTTGTTAGTACATACAACCAAGTGAGTAGTTCTACTATTTATGTAGCTTCTACAAAAGTAACTCTCTCGTCTAAAAGTCAAACAAACTAATGCAATCTACCAAAAAGGGTCTCTCGTGCACCCAAAAAACCAACAAAATATATTTATGTGCAACTTTCACATACAATATAATTCAACGCACAACAGCTAACTAAACTGAGTTAAAAAACCCTTCCTCCTTCAATTTTATAATCTCATCTCGCTCCGTGAAGTACGTTACAAATAGTTCCGGATCAGAAAGAAGTGGACGCCACTGAAGGGGATTTTAACAACTTATTTGCGTTGAAGTTGAGTGGACACCTAGACGACTGTCGAAGCTTTGTCTTTTTTGTTTATTTCGTGTCTTGTGGGTTGTAGTCCAGAGGGACATGAGTATACAGAAGAGAAATTGAACTATTATAATTCCAAACTGGCGGACAAGACTCACTCAAACCGAGAGAAATTCTTTCAAAGCACACGCCGCACAAAATACTTAAATTGACGTGAAAGATCGCCCTCTACATACATGAAAAGTTGTCAGCATGGCTTCATAAAGTAATGTACAAATAAACCAACGTCCAAATACTTTTGTTCAACAAGAGTGAGTGGTTAGGAAAAAACTTTCAAGAGTTTAACAATCAATTGTACAACTTGGGGGAAGGAATGCAAACACGTACCAGCACAAATCATCATATAAGCTCTGAAGATTCAGTGTTGTCTTTTCAGCTTGAATTTCTAATGCCTGGAAATTGACATTCAGACGATTGGAAACGTTAAACTCAATAAGTAGCAGTTGTAAAAAAAGTAACTTGCGTCAAAGTGATCCACACAGAGTTGCTAGTATAAAGGAAAATTTAACCAAAGTCGTGGGACGAGTGAGCACGAGAAAAGTCAACAACAGAAAGAGTAGTAGTGGATAAATTGGCACACGTTGTGATCGACTAGCATGATCATCATTTAGGACATCAAAAATAAGTTAAAGTCGTTGGACCGGAAATAAATATCCGCTGATGTATGAGTGTGTTTAAACAAGAGAGAAAGTTGAGCTTAGACCAGCTCTTTCTAGTACATTGGTAAAGTGAGTGACCAAATCGGGAGCGACGGGACCCACCAAAACCAGCAAATGAAACAGAGGGCAGTTTTGACAGAAATCCATTACCATTATTAATAATTGCTATTAGTGCCCTGGACTTTTCCCTTGCAGCCTGCATGAAACCTCAGCAACTCGTGTTGTTGGGGCGTAGTAGTGGGTGACACACTGTCAACTATATCTCAAATCATAAATCGTAACATTTAGTGCACTTTTTGGTGGTCATAAAAATTTACGGGATTCCTTTCACAGCAATATCGAGTAACCTCTGTTTTCTTTCACCTATTTCAGATTTTCATTGGTATTCTACTCTTGTAACTGTCTTGTCTCATTACCAATAAAATTGTGTAAAATAGAGCGAAAGAGATGGCTACTGAATTCCATACAATCATTTTCTGGCGAAATCCAAATGAGCGTAAGTGTAGGAAACTACAAATTTGCGGCTTCGTATCTCAAGCCCATTTCCAGTAATAGAGTGCATGTTGTGCGCCTATCCTATATTCCGTGAAAAGAATATAAAGTCTGTGTCCCTCGGATTGGGACAACAGGACTGGTCCAGCGTCTCGCAACACAAAGGAGCAATCTCAGCTTGAAAGGGGAAAGGAGTTTTCTCTTAATAAAAAGGGACAGGAGTAGTGACTCGAACTGGTGGTGCCTGGTGCAAGACAAATTGTAGTGTCAAGTTAAAAGTTAAAGTCTTAAACAATTGGGACGGATTGTCTCATTAATAATTCGAATTAAGTTGACAGCCCATCAACCCAGATCAACTTAAACTCAAAACTTTCATTCCATCGAGATTCGCGACACTTGGTCCGACTTCCGACCAAGAGCACAACAAAGCCTGGTGGGTGCTGGAATCAGGACAGAATTAAACTTTGGGCCGTGTGGTGCAGGACCACATTATAGACTCGTTCTGCTTCAATCTCATTCCCTCCAGTGGCCAAATCTCTTAAAATATTAATAGAACAAATCCAGTATTCTATCCAGCATCACGCCCCTCCTATTCATAAGATCGACCCAAGGTGAACCGTAGACACGCTTTTCAAGACATCATCAAAATCAATGAAAGCTTTTCGCTTCCTCAAAAATATCTGACTCTTGACTTTCTCCGCTGGAAACTCGAGCAATTCCTCCACATTTAACCGATAACCACAACCCCGTCGCCTAAATTCCCATTTCACAGCAAAATCGTCATTTCAAGTCTTGAAACTTTGTAAGAGAATCCTGCTCGATCATGTCTCGGTCCATTTTCAAATCTTGTGGAGTCACTCGGTCGCTTCTCTTCCTCATCATCTTCTCGGCTGCGTCTCAGTGGAAACCAACAGGTTCGTACACTACTCGTATATACTCCCTTGAAACATTAGATTTAAATCATGACGACTATTGTCGGACATCTTTAAAATTAAAAAAAAAATTCTAAATTTTATTTATTTATGTTTTATACCAATAGCCATATATTTATATTGCATGAGTCCGTGTTTAATTGAGACATATGCTCTGCTAAGTACGCACCAAACGTGTTTGTGTGCATAGGAGCTTGCTAACTTTGTTGCTGGTGTTTCAAACCCTTTCCTCAATTTATGGAATAAACCAACGACATTATAATTATTATGATTTTCAAGAAAAATTGGCACCGCTGGTGTTTTCTAAGTATTTGGTGTATCTAACTCAAATGCACTTTCCCAGACGTGCGTGTCCCGTGTCAGGAAATTAAGGCTGTGGAAAGTCAATGTATTCTGGAATTTGTTTCCCCTCAAGTTTTGTGATAATGTTAGAGTGCTATTACTGCAATCACGAAAGCAGCTGGCACGACTTTCTCTCCCTCCCGTTGTAATATTTACATAGTTTTGCGTAACGTTATCTAAATAACTGAGGTATATTGACTCCCAACTACATAGACTGTGGAAATACGCAATTATACAAATAATTATAGATGGGGTGTGTTTTCCTCAATAAACCTCAGCGTATGAATCACTTTTTTTGTATGGTGCAGTATTTAAGAGCCATTTATATTACTTCATACGGGTTAATTATGTTATCTAACCTGAGTAGTCAGTTTAATTTAGTGCACTTGCATTTAAAATGTCTCAATACTCACTTATGTTTGATGCACACAGATAGATTTTTATCTGCATGCGATAAGAATGCCAAATTATGGATATATAAATATGTACGTATGTATGCTTCTCTTAACTTTTATTAAGCTGGCAGAGCTGAAAAAAGTAACTGGTATACATGCATAAATGGAGGTTGAAAAGTTGGCTGGTGTGTCAAGTACAGTCGTGTTTTAACCTTGTTTTAAAATACATGCATTCATGTTGCCTCATAAATCTATCACATTCCGGCGGCGGCAGTGAATCCAGTCGGACACGCTGCTTTCTCCATGCAAAAATAACTTGAAGGAACTTTCATTCAAATTCTGGAGAATTTATGATGACTTGCGTCGTAATCAACTTTGGGAGAAAACGTCTCCAATAAAATTTGTAACTGTTATGTTGGGCGAGGAGAGAAAATCAGGTCAGAGAAGTCCCCTTCTGTACTGCCTCACTTTCTCCTCCTCTAATCAGCCATAAATCATTCAGAGTGGTGGGCTTCAATTCCAGATTGGTCTCTGATGGTTGATACCATCATCCACTAACCACCAGTACCACTTACAACGGTGACACTGTTCGCCAAATTGCTTTTATGATGATCCCATGAGGTTCTTTTGAAACATGGATCTAAACCTAATGGAGTTTGTCACTTTTACTACCCCCTCCCCCCAGAAATCCGATGATGATAATACGTTCAAGTAGTTTACTGATGGCTTAGCCGTAAATTCAATATGTTTCGGCAGCCAGCTCTTATCCACTCCAGTTCAACTCTCTCTTCTCACTTGTAAAATATGTTTCGCTAAAGGACAAATTATAATTATATTTAGAATTTCAGGCGAGTAATTTCTCAACTGATGCCTAACTAGATTATTACATCAAGAGTCAATTTTCATGTTTTATGAGCGAGCTGTGAGATGGAACAAAGTTTGAAATAATAATTCTCGTACTTGTTTGGAAGACTAATAACGATATTTGCATGACTTGATACAATATGAAAATATGTTGCAAACATTGGTTTTATTTGTAAGTACGTTTGTCGGTATAATTTGAACATTGTGCAAAACTCTTTCGCAATATGTACATATGTATGTGCGAGTAAACATGTTGGTCAATTTCCACGGAAGACTGGAACTTTTCAAGAGAATATTTACTCAACTTATATTCTTGCGACAGAGGAATATGCATATTAGTTACGTATCAGCGCTTTTAAAATATTCTCCTAAAACCTGAATCAAAGTTTTTTGTCAAGTAAGTCTAGGCCTCAATATGACAGCATAACTATTGAAAGACGGACATCAATTATAAACTCAAGAGAACTTTACATTAACATGTTTACTCAAGGTACTCAAATTAGTGCAAACTTCTTTACGAAGGATTTCAATATCGCACGAATGAATGTGTCAAGAAGTACAAGAATTAATTAGTAATGTATGCATTATTTATTTATGATACCTTTCATTAAGTACTTATTTATTCCATCTCATATCAAAAACTAATTAGTTGCTAAATGCATGTTGATTTTAGCCAAATTAATTCCTTCAAGAGATATAGAAGCCAATTAGTGCTTACATATAATGCAGATTAGTGGACAAATTTGCATAATATGCTACACTGCTTTAATACATGTCTCAAATCTCATGAATAAATCTCGAAATAAGTAGATTCATATGCAGCAACACCGGTTGCTTAAAATGCTAAATTGACATGAAGGAATCATATCCTCGAGCAGTTTTCCCCAATCACACAGCCTTTGTTGACTGTAAAAAGTGAAGGAATTCATATACAGCGTCTCACGAAACCTTTTTTGAAGCTGAAAACTTCAAGGAAGTTAAATTGTAAGGAAAGAAGAACGCTGGTTTCATATACATTGTGATGCATTATTAGATTTCGAAATGCTCTGTATTTACCTCATCCCCTTCAAATCCAACGACGAAGGGGGAGGTGGCTGGCTCTGTTGCCGGTTATGCATAGGAGCTGCCGGATAAACACGAAAATTGAGAGTGCACACTGCTTTCTCTCCACTCTGCTCTCCGTGCATGGATTTTTGCTGCGTATTGAATTGAACGGTAAGCAAAAGAGATGAATTTCCTAGACAAGCAAATCATGGGCGTAAATTGAATGGTGCATGAGAAAAGGTGAATTGACTGCCTCCACGGTTTACTTTCATGCTATTTCATTCACTTTCATTGATAGGGAGGAGGAAAAGTTGGCGGTAGTAGTGCATTGGTAGTTGTATTTTTTGCTGCTTCCTGTGCAAGTATTATGCTACTTGATACTGCTACTTGGAAGGTCCGAATCTATTATTGAGACGATGATAAAGGATAATTTACCGGTACCACCAACTTGTGTACTTCTTACTAAATATTAAGTATGCAGCTAGAGTCAGACACATCATATTGAGCTTGCTTCCTAATTGAGCATCCCCATAATTCTCGATTTTGGGATTAAAGTCATGGCCTAGTTGGATCGTACTCAGATTACCAGACGAATACGTAAGTATGTACATATATTGCATATCCGTATCTACGAATGTATATACACACCACTCATGTAAGCATTTCAAGGCAGAACAAGGCGATAAGCTAGTGAAAATAAATATTGATTTTTTGAACAAGATTCAGTTTCACTCACACATCCGCCTCTCACTGGCTGTGGGAGGTTGCTTTCAGAATTTCCTGGATACCAAAAAGTCCGACAGACAGAAGTCAAGCCTGGTTTTTCATTTCGTGTTTGGCGAAGGATGGATGGTTCTACATTTCTGCGGCGGCGGTGTGGGAGTAATAAGCACTTGTTAGAATTATTAAACTCTGACTAGTGGCATGTCAACTATCGCTAACTTCACAGCCCCTGCAGAGTTCAATCAAGGAATCGCCTCGTTCCCTCCCACCAGAATAAGTACAAGGGAAGAGGAAGGTTAACTTGCCCACGTCAAAAGCCTCCTTGGTAAATTATTGCGTTAGACGAAGGTGGAAATTGTATTTCCCTGCAGCGGAGGTACAAGCAAGTCGGAATAATTCAACTTTAGTGAGCGCACTAGTCACTAAGGATAAGAAAGCTGCAGCGTCGGAGGAAAGGAGTGTTGTTATCGGAGAGAGATTGTAAATCTAAATCTACGAGAGAGAGGAAGAGTGAGATTTACTCTCTTGGAATTGAACTGTCTCGTTCAATACTCCCGTTGCTCCTTGAGATCTATGGATCCGGCTTCTTCCATCCTGACTGAAATACGTTCCGTTCTTGCTGCTCCTCCCTAATTCCACAAAATTACAACAAATGTAAAATGAGAGATACGTCCTAAATGCTTTAGGTGGATCTTAAATGCTAAATGCGCATATTGATGCAATCATATACATTTGTTCATGTTTTACGATTTGAAAGTATGTATATCAAAAGCCAAGTTCGAGACAAAATCACAAAATAATTTAATAACCAGGAGTTCTATAACTCGCAGTAACGTTGTTCTATTTCACCTGCACCTTGGCTCTGGTAGTTATAAGAAACAGAAAGCATATTTTTCAGCCTATGAAATATCCGTAGCTGTTCCAAAATACAGTTTCTCCCGGATAAATGGTGTAGCTCAAAGAAAGTTGGCACCACCGAGTTTGGCAGTAATGTCACTCTTTTGTCCAATAAAGTCAAGAAAATCTCTGTGCATACTTTTCTTTTATGCCTTATTACATGAAAATATTGCATGCACTACTTACCAACGCAACGCAACGCAACGCAACGCATGAAGAACTATCAGAAGCAAGTTTGGGGTTCAGTGACAATAAGACCTTTTTTGTTCACAAAATACAAAAATGGGCGGAAGTACAAAGTATGAAAAGACATGTGTGAAATCTGAGACATGCACATTTGCAAGAATATGTGTATTGGATTTCTTCCTTCTGCATTTATATGAACTCGAAATATTACTGGCTGTATCACTTGCATTAAGTGAAAATCTATTCAGGGTTTCGTCGTATATACGGTGATTACGAAAGTTTTGAATTTATACTACGTATAATAATGAATGAACACAATCTTATACGAGGGGAGCATAACTACTCCCACAGTTACTACATTTGACTTGAAGTTGTGTCTGTGTCGAAGAAAGACAATGTTTGTGCAGGGTTGAAGAGTTCGAGAGCTTTGAGCATATACCAACCAAACATGGTCGTGTGATTAATAAATGAAGTCAACATTCCCTTATTTGGTTCTTCTGCATATGTATTTGGCTTTCTTCGTGCTCAATA